GGACATTAAAAATGAGTACAAAGCGAGCATGTCATAGTGAGCAGTGCAGGAACAGACAGCATGAACTTGTTTAAATCTGACCACCTGTGGCTTTGGATGAAAGACCTGGAGGACAATTCATAGATTTCTGGCTTTTATCCCGTAATATATTTATAGTGTTTTTTTATTAGTAGTATTATAAGAAAACTCATTTATGGTGCTTCTATTGAGACCAAACGCACAATTCTCTGTTAGTAATGACTCCAGAAGATCCTAAGCACTGAGTTCTTCTCATTATTTAGGAATGGACCTTTTTTTTAACAGCACAAAGTAACGACAGCATTGGTCACTCTGTTTGGAAATTTGAGATGATTTTCAGTTCACTTCCATGCAGCTGGAGAAGGTCAGGAAGCAGTCTTTAAATATTAATGTTTGAGCACAATTCAAGCCAACTAATGACATTTATTTGGGGACCTTGTACTAGAACTGCATTCTTTCGGAAACACAACTGGTGTTTTTCAGTAAGTCAGAACGACTTATAAAAGCCAATATACACCAAAGATGTGGCATAAATTTGAGACACTATATACTATTATATTCATTTTGTGGTGCCTGCCTTCTGTTTTTGTCCTCAAGTCAAGTGGGGAAGCCAGTATACATTTCTAGATCTAGTCATAGAATCATAGAATAGTTAGGGTTGGAAAGGACCTTAAGATCATTGCAATGCTGAAGATCCAGAAGAATCCAGCTGTGTTACACACACACACACACAAAAAGACTTTGTGTATTATTTTAAAATCAGAATCTCGTCTGAGTGTTGGTAAAGGGAGAGGACTATGAGTGTTGGAGGGACCAGAAGGATGAAAACGGTCAGCAGAAAAAACCACGCATGATAATTCCAGTTTTACTGGCAGTATAATAAACAGTTGGTAGAGACTCTGTGGAATAAGACACAGCAGGTCTTGGGCTGCCTAGGCCTGAAGAACAAAAAAATGGAGTCAAAATGAGAGAGGACAATAATGAGTGGCGTCATCCTCAAGCAACAGAAAATATGAAGGAAGCAACAATATGGAGTTGAGTTTATCCCACTTCAGTACAGACAGTAACGGTGTAACACTAATTAATGTAAACATTAATTCAAATTGAAATTTGAATTATTTAAATGACTGATTTAAATTTGCACTATGGCATTGCTCCTTATCAGCCAGGCATGTATCCCCTCCTGCTCCCCTGACACATTAATAGTACTTCCTCAACCAAATGAGGTACTAGTTGAGGGAGCCAGCTTAAAGTTAAAGCAGTGGTGCATTTTCAGCCAGATCCATATCCTAAATCACTTAGTGGTTCCAAAAGCCAGCCTAAAGGAGGGACTGAAATCTCACGGCTGTGGCAGGGCCATGGCAGAGTGGACTGGTTTAAGCTCCTACAGAACTCCATCCCTAAAGCAGATTGTTCATGAGACCTTTAACACTAAAAGCTGAGAAGGTATAAAGGTCAAAGTATGCTGAAAGAAGCATGTGAAAGAATTCAAGTTTTGGTCCTATTCAACCCTTTCAAAATAAGCCACTTTGAAGCAGAGAAATAAACTCCTTTTCCTCATCTACTAAATTATAATCACGTCTTCCAAATCCTATGTTCAATTCAGGAAGTGTAATGTGGGCTAACAGAGCATTCAAGTTGTTGAGTCAAGTTTTATTCTGACAAATCTGCCAATAACATAAGAGACAGCAATATGAAAGGTCAGGCAGAATATCAGTAATGGTTACATACTGATCTAAAGCTCAAACTATACTGTTGTCTGCCTACAAAGCACAGTTCATGGTAGGTAGATTTCACCCCTACAAATGGCCTTGTCTTATTATCACAGCTACAGTACCATTACCAATTATCCGATTAGTGCACAAATTTCCAAGTCAAATAAATCAAAGTGTATTTTTTGGCATTTAAAATTCAGGATGGTAAAAACATGTATGTGAAGGAATTAACTGTCAAGAGAATATGAATAAAGCACACCTCCAAGCATCTTAAAAATTAGCCACAGAAGCCTTCAGTTTGACCTGACACCCATATATTCACCACCATGTTTCTTGTGTGATAATATATTTTGTCATACATGCTTATTCATCAGAGACCAGAACAGCTCTGAAAAGTCAAGCTGAAATTTAAACAAGCGCTGTTTGGCATCTTTAGTTTGTGTTAGACCAGGTGGCAGCTGCTGGAAGATCATTTTGATTTAACAACTTTGTGTTTTGTTAGCAAAGAAAAACATTGTCCAGCCAAATCCTGCTGACAGTGAATAAATATTTCTCCTCCGTAAGACCAAATATTTTCATTTGTCATCCTGCTAGCTAGGGGTAAAAGATCTGAAAAGATTTTTTCCCTGTATGGACTCAACTATATTTGAATGGTTCAGTGTTTTATGGGAGGTGATTATTACTCTATACTCAGCACTGCTGAGGTTATGTCTGAAGTAGTGCACCACACTTTGGTCATTATACTTCAAAAACTGGACAGATTTCTAAGGAAAGCAACCAAAAGATGGAAAACTCTGTGGAAGGACTGCAAGAAGTGGGCTTGCTCAGTTTAAAATAGAAAGTTAAAAACTATTATTGACAAATCCTCTTGTTTGTAGAAGGCTGTAATAAAGATGAGCACATACTGGCATTGGGACTAGTAATAACTGACCAAACATGAGACTGGACAAATTTATGGCAGAGAATTCCACTAGGACCTGTTCAGCTGACAGCCACCACCACTGGCTCACCAAGTCCCAAAGCCACAAATTGTTAGGGAGTAGCCTGGGGAAACATCACTACAGGATCTCCCTTTTCTCATACTCTTCCCTTAGCATCTGCTATTAGGCCCTGTCACAAACAAGATCCCAGAGTAGCCTGACCCTTTACACTGACCAAGTGCCTTTCTCACACTGCCCACTTTTTCAGATGAGACAGTACAAAACCCTGTTAATTCTGAAGAGCAATTAGCCCTGGAACAAGCCAGTTGCAGAACAAGAGCAGCCCTTTACTAAACACCTGAAAGAACAAGGGCAGTTTAGTATACTTGACCCCCCGTTTAAGAAAAGAAAGAAAAAACTATGCTTATTCCTCTGTCAGGAGTAAAACTCTCTCTTTATTGCAACCAAAAGCAAAAGCCTTCATATTTGTAAATCTTGCTTTTAGCTGACAGAGGCACATTTGTTTCAGTTTGAAAGATGCTTCATTACCTGTAATTCTCAAAATTTGCACTGTTTCATTTGTGTCACAAAGACATACAGTTAAAAAAGGGACAAGTAATCTTCTCACAGATCTCTGCTCCCATTTAAGCCTTTACTAGATCTTTAGCTGTGAAGTTGTGACGTAAAAGATGTAGTGCTAGACTGCAATCCAACTTAAGAAGCAAACGCCATCACTGCAGTGCATTCCAGGTAGCACAGCAGGAGAAGAAATTATTTAAGAGTCTGTAATTACTTGCTTCTTTACAACTTCACAGAGCTGCTAACCGGAATGGAATAGAGAAAATGCATTTATTGTTAGCTCTGCTCTTCGCAAAGAATTTTGGCTGCTGATTGTCTTTGGTATAACCATTATTTAGTATGGATTTCCTGCTTAACGTTTCAAGAAGTTAAAAGCTCTAAGAAGTAAATGTTCTGCTTTTACAAAAATCTGTTTTTAAGGTAACAAGCCAAAGAATACAGGAGACAGCACTCCGACCTCGACATGCTCAATATATTAACACAACTCTTTAGTGCTAAACGCACGCTTCAGTGTGTTCATATATATTATTTTAAGAGCAACAATAAATTATGATTGCCAAGAAATGTGTCAGGTTCTTGAAGGAATCTACAGTGCATACACACAGTCCTTTCAAATGACACAGTTATGAGAAAATCTGATTATAAAAGACTATTTATATGTAGATGGCACCTGGCTGTCAAATCAAGGGAGGCCGTGTTTTGTGTGCTGTACGCTGTCAGCCATGTTTTTCTGAAGGGAGGATATTAAATAAATCAAAACAAATGACCTGATGGCTGTTATATACAGATGTGATGAGAGGCAGAGAAAGCAAGTGAGCCCAGGTGTTTGTATGTGCAGCTTCTAAGACTGCATTAAGTAAAACCATAGGAAATCAGCTAAGTCGCTTGTAGAAAATCTATTTGTTCAAACTAGGATCAGAACTTGCTCTAAAACGTCATCCTTTGCTCATGTCCATTTCTAATGTCAAGGCTGTAATTTCCCACTACACCATCTTTGCCAATAATGAGCAATCCTAAGTCTCACATCAGCAACACCCATTCTGGGCTGATACAGATGCTGGGAGATAAACGCTGTGAGCTGCATCACCACAATACTAACAATGAGCAGCAGTCCCTAAAAAGAGTGGGGTTTTGACCCCAAGTGCACTCATGAGCTGGTTGACAACATGGCCACAAAAACCTGTGTTGACCCAGCTGATGAGAGGAAATGAACAGCGAATGATGGATGGGGTTTCTTAGGCCAGTTTCATTACCGTGACCTGTGTACCATAAAACTAGGTCCCAAGTTAGCCACCAAACTTTTGCTAAGGACTGCAGCAAAGGAGTAAAGAGGTGGCAACCTTTCTAAATGTGAGATCTGGAACTTATTTTAGCAGCAATGAAAAGCACTCAGGCTGCTACTCACTTAATCCAGAACAATGGGGACAGATAATTCGTTTCCCAAATCTGATCATTTTTCCAGGTTGCTATCATAGCCATACACGTTGTAAACTAAAATTTGGATCCCATGGGCAATGTTCAGGAGTATCATTTCTGTGATATACAACATCAGATCATGAGATGCTGGTAGATGAGTTCATACAGAAATATTAATGGAACATACATTTAGGCAGTCAGAACGATTAACTAGGAACAAAAAATATCTGGGCACTTTGTGAACTCAAGAATCTCAAGTCCAGGATGAGGAAGACTTCTTTTTTCAGAAGCATGGACAATGCTTCAAACACAATTTATCCAAAGCAGTTGCTCTAGACTTGAGAAAAAAAAATTGCTTACCACAGAGAAAATAAAACAGTTTTATCATCTTAGCCTAACCTTTTCAGGTTACAGAAGAATATACTACTAAGAGGAGGCTTAGCGTTTGAATACACTATGAGAAACACCCTTTTTGTTTCTTTTACAAGTTCCTGAAGACATCATCCATTCAGCTTGCAGTCACACAAAACTAAGGGCACAAACACAGTGTTACTCGTTAATGAAGAATGGCAAAACATTTTCTTCCCCAAATCTGTGTGTGAGGGAGAAGACAGGCATTATACTGTTAAAGAAGAGTGTAAGTCACATACTCCCTTCTCTATCATTTGATATTTACCACATTAGTCTGTGAAAAAATCCACATATTTAACAGGGTTCATATAAAATCACTACTAAAAGAGAGGGAGGTTGAAAGAAAGCACTTGTTTTCTGAGATACAGTCAAGATTTCCACCCTGACCTGCTGACCTTCATTAGCTTCCCCACTTCCCACCCTAGGAAAAGATATTGCTCAGAACCATTTGCATCTAACCCCCCCTTTGTTCTACAGAATCAGCAAGAGACAATAAATTTCCTAAGGAACTGATGAGGTGCTTTGTGACTGGGAACATATCTAGGTCCAAGCAGAGTATTCCATACAAAGAGGCGGCTCTCTCGCCATTTGAGATGTGAGACCTTTGCTTCATCTTGTGTCGGGGGCGAAAGGAAGAGAAGGCAGTGAAACCATTAACCAGCTTCTCTGTGGGGTAAGCACTGGTTTACTACTCCTCATAACACCACCACAGGGAAGAAACCAACCCACGTAACACTGAACGTCCGGATTCAGTGTCAACTAAGTTACAAGAGACACCTTAAAAAATACACATTTCTTGTTCTTTCATGGATTCTTGATCACACAGGTTACAGTTGTGATCTAAAGGAAAATGACAGAACAGTAAAGAAAACCAAGTATGCTGTTTAAACAAAATACTGTTAAGCACTCAGATAATTTTGCTGTAAGAAAATTACTTCAGGACATAAACAAAAATGTACACTCAATCATTACATCAAACGAAACAATTATATTAAGGTTCAGTTTACAAAAGGTTAACAAATAATTAGTAGCGGTTTTAATAAATAGGTATTTACTTATCATCTATTATCAGTCCAACAGATAGCTTCTAGCTGTCTATAGTACTTTCTACTGGTGTGCTTTCAGCCCTCCCTAACACATACTACACATTTCTCTAACATGAATTACAACTTGCAGAAATTATTTATTAACCCTTCATAAAATTCTAAGTAAACCTTAATACGAAGCATGACTACACTATTCCAGCCCCATACCCCAGGACACATCAAATACTAGCTCTTTCAAGATTTTATTTAAAATTCTACATTTTCGTTGGGAGCCACATCACTAGCCACAGAATCACAAACGCCTACAGTGGCTTAGCCAACGCACTGCAGACACAAGAAGTGAAACAAAAGTGGTGGTGGGAGATCACAGGGAACAGTTCAGATTCTTCCAATAGAAATGTCCTGGCTTTTCTGTAGGAGCAAACATTGATACCACAACAACAGAACCAGAGGCCAAAAAAACACGGAGTCTGATGTAATTCAAGACATTGTTTTTCTTTCTTTTCAGAAACAAAACCCCACAATACATTATAATATAAATAAATAAAACAGAAAACACAAAAGTAAATGCCAAAACCTCCACTAGGATCTTAAAAAAGGGAACAGCCAACTTTTTTTCAGATGCAGCCTAAACTTCTCTTACCTTCAGATATTCAATATACTTAGAAGTGTCCTATGTAGTGTATCAGACTTAGGGAACAAGATGTATTATATTTAGGTCTCCTTTTTTTCCATCTGGTATTTTCATCTTCAAAATCCCACCTTAGTTTTTTCCATCAAATTGCCTGATGTTGTTTAACAAAGTTCAGCTCAGACTTACACTTTGCCTTCACTTTCAGAGCCTCTATCTTCATTCTTACAGTCCTCTACCAGGTCTTCACACTCCTGTGTCTTCTCTTCCTCCTCCTCCTCCTCATCTCCAAAAGTCTCTTCTTGCATTGTAGTAAAAGTGAAAGACCTGGCAGCAACTTGTGCAGCCAGACCAGATGTGAAGTTTAAATCTGTTGATATGTGGAGCTGGGCCAGCCTATGCTTGATTTTTGAATGCAATGCATCCTCAGAGGGAGACTGTGAAACCTCTACTCCATCCGTATTGCTCTGCTTGAGTTCTTCAACTTCTCCTTCATGCTGATAACACATTCTTTCTTCAGCCCCTGTAGAAATACCTTCATCAGCAGTACTGTCTTTTTTTCGCTCCATCTCAGGATCTTCATACAAATATTCTGTCCTGCTTTTATCAGCAGCATTCTCTTCTGGATTAGAGTCTTTTTCTTCAGATTTATCACAACTTTGGCTGCAGTCCTGCTTTTCTGTATCTGAATTCATATGTGATGCCAAATTATTTAGTAGCTTCAGCGGCTCTACAGGAGACAAGGGTTTCACTGCAGCTTAAAAAGGGGGAAAAAAAATGAAATGATAACTAAAAGCAAGCTGCCACATATAAATAATTTATTTGTGTCTGAAAGAGGTGCAAGGCTGTAAGGGTCAAAATGGCCTAAAAAAAAATCCCCGTAACAACAGAAACAAAAAAATACAAGGAAAAAAAGTAAAACAAAAGAGTGTTTTCTAATTACAAAGCTGAAGTGAGATGTGATTGCTACTTGTAACTACTCTTAAAATCAGTGATGTAAAGAGACAGCACGAAACTGATGATGCTTAAACCCATCATCAAACACAGATGATGCATTCAGTGTTAAAAGTGAAAACCAACTGCACTGTATACAGACTTGAACTGTCTTTTTTTTAAACAACAGTTTACCTAGTCCAGTAAAGACAGGTGGTACATGACAAAGTCTTTATAGGCAATATCTGATCTCATACACCACAACATGTAAATACAACACTTATTCATACAGTCAGGTAAGGTGTCCTCACAAATAAAGTGTGGTTTAATTTAGCCTCTCTTGAAGTAAGTAGCAGCAGTGAGCCCCATCGCCAGCAACGGGAGGCTTGCCAGGAAGTCTCTCCTCCCAGTGTTAAGGGTTAGTACAACTCGGTACAATCACTTCTTGAAGAACAGACGTCTTTCTTTTTAAGGAAACGATATAATGTCCATTTCCAAGTAACAGATTCCCTAAACTGCAGCAGCTCCATTAGAATAGCAGCACGAACATAAATGACAGTGGCAACAGCAGATTCCCAAGTAGCATTTCCCTTTCTAATTCCATTCTGACTTTATCCCTGTAAGCAGAGATGAAAATAACTCTGGGAAATACATACACTTTTCACGGGAAACACAAATTTACGGTATTAGGATTTTTCCATTGCATCTTATTTCAGCAATCTTTACTTTAGCCAGCTGAAGGCAGGTGCACCATTATGGCTGTCACACTGATAACTGTGTCATTTAGCACACTGAAAGGCTGTGGCTTCCAATTCATATCTCATTGTCTGTTTTGAAACCTTCTATACAGAAGGAGCACAGCACCAGACTCATCTCTGTTGTTAATGGGGTAGTTCTTTCCCCCTCTTGTAGAAAACATGCTGCTGCTTATTTCTGCCCATTTGCTTGAAGAGGCAGGAATATGCATAGCAATATTTGCTTATCATTTGGAAGCAAACCTGTTGCCTGCTTCCTCCAAAGAATACTTCCAAAGCCAAAATTTCTTGAAAAGTAGATACCTCAGACTGGCAGCTGGCTACTTTGCTGAATGATTAGTTAACCTGCAGTAACCAATTCTCAAGAGTGCGGCTTTCTAAATCTGAGAAACAGCTGTACAAGAACTGTTGTATGGACAAGGTGGGAGAAGGGAGAACAGCTGGGTGCAACACAACCACTGACAGAATGAACTTCTTTGGGGAGAGAGGTTAGGGGAAAGCCTTGAAGTGATTCTGTGCCAGAAGAAAGTTTTTTACAATGTCTGACAAATGAAAACAAAGCCACTAACAGCTTCACATACCTCCTCAAAAGCACTTCCATTTTACTGCCTCAACAGGATGCCAAAGGACCTACACTCCCCTAAATCACATACTGTCTAGACAGTAAGCAGTATTACCATGGTGCTGGGCCTGGGCAAATTTGCTTTAGTCTAGGGGTCTACTAAGGTGATGTTTTTCTTCTAGAAGCCAACCTATCATTTCCAGTTGACTTTATGCTGTGTTCTTTAGACTTATCAACTTGTTTGGAGCTGACCTCTTTCATGTGGAAACCCTTACCAGCTCCTCCTTCAACTAACCAAATAAACCTAGCAAACCAGAATGGCTTGCTGGGACCCTTGGCTAATGTGCCTAACAGATTAAAGCTTTTGTGTATTTCAGGATCTTTATTCACAATAATCACAAGTTAAGAGAACACAGGGTTTCTGGAATGTGATCATCCTGTAAAAGCAAGGCTTAAGAGGGCTATGGAAATAGTGTGGTATCACAGCCATCTATTGGCTTGGGCCAATGGAGACAAGAAGATGAACTTTTCTGGGTTTAAGGCTTGAAGATAAAGCAAGCCAGAAATGTGGAAAGCACAGCTCACAAAAATGTTTCTTTAAGGAATGACTCTTGTATACGGATAAATTAAAGTCTGCAGCAGTCATATTTAACTGATTTGTGATTCTTTTGAAGAAATAATGAAGAAATTCCTTAAAAATCAGTAGATGTTATGTCTGCTGTCCATATCAGTCCTTCAGATTAGACACACACAGTCTCCAAGCCAAAAGGAGACAGTATTAACTACTTTCATGAACCGCCCTCATGTTTTCCAGTCTTGTACAGAATGGAAGTAATCAATGCTTAGTCCTAGGCAGCTGGAGGAAATCACACTTTCCTCCCTCCCCACCATTGAATCTCTAATCCTAAAACAATGGAATATCTATACATGGAAAGGAAAGGAACCAACATGAGCTCCAAAGGCTTTCAGGGGAAGAGTTAGTGAAGACTATAGGACTCTTTCCAGCTGTGGCCACAAATGGCCTGAGGATACACTGATGTGGACAGGTACCAGCTGCTGAGCTAGATAAGGAAATGTCCTGCAGAATCTCTCGTGACAAGAACTCTCTCTGCAACAGTCACTAGGTCTGTCAAGACTTGAACTGGGGGTAGAATTGCTTCCTTCTCTCTTCAACAGTGAGGAAGGGAAGACTTGAGGAGATTTATGTGAAGTGTCACATCTTACATGGGAGGAATCCTACCCTTGAGCAGACTCTGATGCAATCTGATGTCTTAGGGTTTTTAATTCAGGTAGAAGAGAAGTCAATACCAATGGGTAAGTGATTTCTTTTACCACAGTTGTCGCTAAATTGACATAAAGAATAAAGTTGTGAAGAACAGACACTTTCGGGGGTTTGATGTCTCATAAATAGGTATGGCCTATTACTGTGTGTTCCCACTAAATTACTGAGAGATGCAATCCATGGTCTTTTTCTGGTAGACACTGGCAGAGGTGGAATCTGTTGCCAGACTTCAGGGTTGTCTTTCATAACACAGAACATGAAATTCTTTCAAGGGCTTTTCCTAACCTGTCTTTAAGAGGAAGGAATGAAAATGGAAAGAAGAAGAGAAAAAGGAAAAGACAAACTACTGCCGATTTTAAAGATAATAAATCAAACAGCTCAAGCAGTTAAAGGAATGAAGTTGTATCCAGGCTTAGTGCTGGAACAGAGACAGACTGTCTTGTTGAGGCAAGATAAATATTCATATTCCTGCCTTTAAGTGCAAGTGGATGGAGATACCTAGCAGTCCTCAAGAGTCAGCAAAGGCCAGTTTGGAAGAACTCTTCTTGTGAGGTTCTTTGGGGTTTGCATTTTGTTTGCATGTTTTGTTTTTGCAAACACATTCTGTATACTTACTCTCTCATGGAAACAAAAGCCAGTCTTACTCTTTCAGGAGCTTTTAATATTTCAAAGGGTAGCTCTTCACTTTAACCTATGTATTTTTGTAAGGCTGGGATAATTTCTAGTGGTTCCTTTAAATTCTGAAAAGTAATTTAGTTACGAGCCCTGATTAAAATTCTTATTTACTAAAAAGCCATGAAAGAAAGCTCAGTTTGCACGGTTTATAGCCTAACAGTTCTCTTTATGCTGTCTAAATACTTTGTGTGTTCAGTATTTTAGCTCAATATTCTCTGTACAGCCAAATTCCCATTTCTTTAAGTTCTTTTCAATATATAGTAAAATGATTGCTGCAAATAATATAAAGAGATAGAATACCTCATGCACACAGCTCTATCAAAGACACTTCTATAGCTAAGCACTGTCCAAATACTAACATAGTCAGAAGTTGATGGCAAACAGACACCTACCCTTTCTTAGAAAGGAATTAATTTTCAAAAGCAATGCTTACCATGGTCACTGAATAGCAGCTGTTTCCATTTCTGTCTTTCTATTTCTGAAGCTTTAAATCCCAGCACAGATTTCAATTCTTGTAACACCCTCTTAGATTCCTGTCTCTCTCGTTCTTGTCTCTCTCTTTCTTCCTGGGAAAAGCAGTAAAAATCTTCTCTTCTGTATTCATTCTCTGTATCTGAATAATCAACATATGCTTCCAATTCCTAAAGAAAAAAGAGAGAAAGAAAGAAAATGTTGATCTTCACTGTCAGTGTAGACGCTGTCCTACAATCATGACCAAGTGATCTCAACTCTAGCCAACCACAGTAATAGGATGGGGCCCAATTTAGCAGAGCCACTGGATCTGACACTGCTCTCAGTTATATTTGCATTATTTTGGAGCAAGTCCACTCATTGAAAGTTAACATTACTGCAGTCACCTGAGATTTAATTTCATACACAAGTATGATCAAATGAACACCTTGAAAATGGGAGTCCATTTCCCCATAACTACACGTGGAAATAGGCAATGCTGATGCAGGTTTCTTTTTTTTTTCTTATATTTTATTTTAATTTACACCATAAGTAATTCTTCCTCAGTCAGGCAACTCAGCAATTTAATGTATGTAAATCTTTATTAGGTGGATGTTGAGAATAGCAAACTCCTCCTCCAATTTTAACTACATTGGCTTACAAGCATTAAAAAATGGAGCTTCATTTATGTTATAACAGACAGTCAGTAAAGTTAGTCCCAGCTCTTTGATGTGGAAAAAAATCTAGAAAGAATACATGTGGGATAGGCTTGGGAGAGCAGAGCAGGGGTGTTCAATCTGCTCTCAGAATGCATCTGCAACTCAACTCTGGGATGGAGGAGGCCAGCCTCTCCTAAAGACAGCCCAGCCATCACTCACGAGTTCCCCAAACAACACGAAACTGTTCACTGTCACAGTCTGTTTCAGATATTCAAAAATGTTGAGATCACTTAAACTAAAGTCAGGCTGGTTTGTTCTGAAGCTTGTCAATGTTCATCTAATAGTATGTATGTAAGACAGTTCATCTAATAGTCTGCGAGTAGGACTCTGTTACATACCACCTTCTAGGAATTCACTTTTTTTTGGTACATGTTTCCTATATTACTCTGACTTGTCTTGCTGCTCTCCTTTGTCACTTATTTTTTTTGATATATCTGAGAAGTGAATGTTGGTGCTCTTTTTTTCCAGGATGGGGAATACCTCCCCATGGAATGGCAAAAAGAATACACATGATTTTTTTTCTAAGTCCAATTATGAAATGGCACTGGATTCCTACTTATCTGTCTCGAAGGTCACTGCACAAGTAACTGAAAAAGGAATGGATATAGCAACCAAGTCCCAGTTATTGTTTAAATGATCCTGTGTATTTTTTTTACCTGCTCTTCAGGGATTGGATCTTTGTTTTCTATGTATATGGCAGGCTGTGTTAAAGGTACTGAAGTACGCTGTAGGCTGTCACAGGAAACTTCAGGTTTGCCTTTAAGGGGAAAAAAGAAAAGGGATTAAAAAAAAAAAAGAAAAGAAAAAGACTGAGTGTTGAATGATGGCTTTGACTCACTCAGGCAGGGCCCAGGCGTTTTCATTAGGAAAAAACTGGTGAGAAGACTGGTTAGAATACACTGAAACCCTGTGCTAGAGAGCAGTTGAATAACTTGGCTGTCTTGGTATAAGCTGGGTCTGGTGAAACTCATCTTGAAGCACTTCAACTAACAAATCTCAGAACTTTCATATACTGCAAAAACCTACAGATGGCAGGAAAAACTGGTAAAGGCAGAAAACAGAGTCAGGGCCAAAGTTTAAAAAGAGAAGTAAAATAGTAAAATTATAGGCAAATGGGCTTCAAATAATTGGAAAATACTGGAAGAAATCATCAAGCAAATTTTACCAGAAGCTATCTGGAAGGTAGCAAGGAGGTAAGTGACAGCCAGTGTGGATTTGCTGAGAACATAAGATACCAAATCGCTCCAATCTCATTTTCCAATGCAGTAACAGGTTTTATGAAAAAGAAGCCAAAGACATTCTGCATTTTGTTTTGGCTTTTGATATAGCGTCTTGAAATGCTCATAAGCAAACGGCCAGGAGAAACTGCTATCAGATGCTTAGGACAGTCTCTTGGATAAGCAGACTGTAGTTACCATTTTCAGACAGGAACAATGCAATGAGTGAGGATTTTTGTTTCAAGCCCAGTACTTTTTAATATTTCCAATAGGTGAAAAAGTGTTTCAGCCCATTAAGTCTGCTGAGATTGGGATAACCTGCAAGGATACTGAAGGGCACAATTAGAATAAAAAAATAATACTGGAAAATCAGAGATACTGTCCAGGAAGAACTGGATTTCAGATACAGCAGTTTGGTGACAGTGACTGCAAATTCTTGTGCTTTAGAATAGCCAAATGATTATTTGTCACAATAACAACTGACTGGGCAGCTCCACTGAGAAAAAGATGTAAGGACCCTAGTGGTCAACTGTACCCTCTTGCAAGCAAAAAAGCCAAAATACATACTAATACATATAAACAACAGCACTGACCATCAGACACATGAAATTACATTTTTATTCTGGCACTGATCAGGCTGCAGATGGAACACAGTGCCCAGTCTGGGGTTCTTTCATTCAGTAATATTGTGGACCAACTTGTGGGAGTCCAGATGAGAACTAAGGAAATGATCATAGGACCAAGTATAATCTTCAGGGAAGAGCTAAAGGACAGAGAGTCATGTAGAGAAGACAGAAAGAAACATATTAACTGTCTTCAAAAACGTAAGAAATATACAGAGAAAATGGATTTCCATTGTGGGTGGATCCAAAGTAGTAACTTTCTACTGGAAATGGAGTTAAGTGCTGGAATAGATGCCTGGAAATACTGCAAAATGTCTCTACATAGAGGTTTTTAGGAACAGGTAAAAACATTTACTCACAAACACTAATTTATCCTTCAGAAGGGAAATGGGATAGATGCCCTTGCCAAGCCCCACCTATCCCTATTTTCAATTTCTAATATGTGAATACTTAAGGATGATATTCTGAAAGTAGGCTGTTCATGCCAATGACAATTTTAGTGGTGCTCAGTTACCTGTTTCTGCAAACAAGGAAAGTATGTAATTCCCTAGTTGCCTGGGCTGAGCTAAAGATTTGACACTCTAGAAGTATCTAAATGTAAAGTTTTAAAGAAAGATGAAGCATATAGTGAAATTTGAAGTGGAAAATTGACATATTTATTTTATAAATATCAAACACCCTCCTCCATTGCATAACTCTGCCTTCTAATAAAAACATTTTTATAATAACAGCAACAACAGAAATATGCTCCTGAAGATGTGAAGACAAATTTGGATGAGTATATGGAAGTTACTAATTAAAAGCTTGCCTTCCCAAATCAGAGGAGTAAACCAGCTGCTCTAATATGTACAGACTGCTGTGTTTGCCACCTACATGGGATGCTGCCGTTGCTAACGATATGCTTCAAGATCATGAATCCGCAGTGTTTAACTAGAACTGTTGCTGCCATAGTTTCTCTCCAGTGGATCAAAGGACTGCAAGATCCATCAGCCTGTAGCAGAGTACTAAGATATTGCTCATACAAATACCTTAAAAGGTTCTAAAGAAGTTTGGCAAAGATAGAGACAGTTTAAAAGGAAAAAGGATGGAATTTAAACAGTTTGAGCAATATTATTTCAAAGATCATTAAGACAGCACTGTAACTAGTCATAAAGAATATTCTGCTCTGCAAAATTAGCAGCAGATTATTATATACTTGAATTGTCAAGGCCTTAGGTGGTAAATGATTTTTAAATTTGATGGAAAGGTGAGAGAATAAAGTGAAGATGGCTGAAAGTCTACAATCAACTCACACTGGAAATGCACAAAAACCTACATGTAAATGAATGATAGGTAAGTCTATCATTGACCAGTGAATTTAAGTAGAGGTGAATTCCCCTAGAAGTGCTAAAGCCCCACCTGCTCTGTTCTGTGGCAGGCTCAGTGACTAACAGCACTGGTTCTAGAAACACACCAAATCCTGTAAACAAAGAAGCCAAACGGCATTCATTAAACCATATACTATAATATATACTAGCATCAGCACCCACAAAAGTTGATGGGAGTGTACGAATGTTCAATAAGTTACGACTTCAAGGCTTTGCTTTGACGGAGTTTGACACAATGAACTATTTAACACAGCTGTAAGAAACTTGCTTTGACACAGAATGATTTTGGGCAAGAAGCATGTAGTGCTTGCTGAAGGAGGCTCATCCGTTTAGACAGAAGGCAATTAAAGGGATGCAAAACTGCTCTGAAAATAAGTGACAGGCAGCTACACAGGATGCCACAACTAGGATAGCTCATGTTCACAACAGCTCTTTAGTGGCTGGTCTTGATTTCATGCACAGCTTGAAGAGTTCAACTCACAGAAGCTGCTTAGAAATGTATCAGGAAAGTCAAATCTAGTTAGATAAAAATAGTTTTCAGTGACTAACATAATTTAAAAGCAGCTCCAGTGCGCTTGGTGTAAAATAGAGACTCAACCCCAGCACATTTCCAGGAAAAATCAGTGGGCAAAAATGAAAGTGAAGGATTTTTTTATTTCCCACACAATCCCTCCCTTCTAGATCACACACCAGGTTATTTTTGTACTGAACTTTAAAAGGAAGCAAATTATAATAAAAGTGCCTGCTGTGAAATTTATACACAAAGTAAAAATAAAACTAAACTAACTAAAAATACCATGGCGTGCAGTCCAGAGAAAACATTTAAGGAAAGGGAAAAAAAAGATCAGTGGAACTGCTGGTTGTGGAGGGCATCAACAGAACACAACAGGCTAGCACATGCAAATCTATCAGACTACATCTAATATCCTCAAAGGCTGTTTTACACAGCACTGAGAGGGGAGTTGTAAGACTAGACTATCAGGCAAAGTACACACAAATTTGGTTATATCATGTCTGAGCCTGCACAGAACGAGCACTAGGCCTCCCAGTGCTCCAGTTCTGATGTTAAGCATGGACAAGGTCAGCTTGCATGGTTCACAGTGATATTTGTCCATCTAATGGACAGCTCACCCATATATCATTAAGAACTTAGCTCACTACAATTTTGGATTTCTGTAGGTAACTTGTTGATACCCCAAGTCACAATTTTCCTAATGCAGTCTCCATTACTAGCATTTTTCAGATGCTGGGCCATGCCTTCCTAGGACAGTAAAATAACTCCTGGAAAAAAGAAAGATTAGAAATTACGATTCAACTCCATGTCAGGAGAGCCTATGTTCACTTATGTTATTTAAGCTACTTGGGATTCACAAGGAGAATGGCATCTAAGGAGAGGGGCATAGGGAAAAATGTTGGGATATGCTGTTTGGTTTGCCTAGCAAGCATACAAATTAGTCCACTCTCTCTGAGAGAGCAGGTAAATGGGTATTTTATGCTCAATACATACTCTACAATTTAAAATGTTCCAGAAAATGCCACTGTCAAGAAAGTTTCATAACAATGCCACTGTCATTTCAATGAACTATATAACAGTAAATGGTCTACATGTGCAGTAAATAAATGAAAATCTTAGGGACGATTCATCACAAGCCTACCCCTTCACAAGTGATTCATCAGTCAAAAGCAAAAAGCCACTACCTGTCTACACCTGGAAATGTAACAAACTGAATCCACAGGTCTAACTGTGGATCAATTAGACCCGTGTCTAACTAATGTTAACAGTGAATAACATGTTCACATTTTTTGCTGAAACAAAAGCTTCAAGGTCATCACAGTGAAAAAGTCTGAGTTAGTATATGGGTTTTTAAAGTCTATGGTTTTAAGACCCTCTTCAGCTAAAATTCTGATACGCACGCTGAATGCTGCCTTTGACCCATTTGACCATCGTATCTCTAAAGTGTATCCTGTTACTTGCTAAATTAATCTCTCATGTTTACCTTTTTTATTTGGGTTTCTTCCGCTCATTTTTTCCACCTGAGAAATGGCTTCTTCCCAGCAGCTGTTGCTTGCCTGCATATGAGGCTGAATGAACTTCAGTTTCTGTTCCAGAACCTGATGGGCTTTTGTTGTCAACTCAGGTGTCTCCTTAGTGCTAACAAGTTTTTCAAGTTCATCCTCAAGAATTATTACCCTAGGTGATGAGGAGATGAACAGAAGTAAGAGATAATAAATATGACTTCATCATTCCTCCAAGAATTCCATTTAATATCCTGTTATTTCCTCCAAGTTTTAAGAATCCAACTCAGCCAACTCCTCAAAGATGCCTCAAAATTTTAAAAATAAGATCCTTTTCTCCTCATCAAGATACACTGCTCACCTGCACTTGTTTTAGTAACTCTTACATGTAAGACTTAAGGAGTACGGCAGTTTCAAGTCTTTCACTAAGGCAGTGATGAATCTTTGAAAATATTTACTAGGTAGTTACTATGAGCTGAACTTTCTTATAAAGCATTTGATACGTTGCAAAATCAATGAAAGGTAAATATGTTTTCAGATTTTTTTCAAGGGAGTGACAAAAGTAGGGCAAGATCTTAATGCACTGCTCAGCTTTGAATTTCCATCAGACACTTAAAGAATAGCCAGGAAACAGTATCAGATTCCATATTGAACCAAGGATCTTTGACTCCATGCTATGTGCAGATATGCCTGTGATTGCAATGACTCTATGTATCTGCCTTCTTCCTACCAGAGTATTTGCTTAATTCATGTGTAAACTTACTCATTGAGCAGTGCCTTGAGATGAAGCTGCAAGCTCCGTACTGCTGTCTGAAGACTGTTCAGCTCTCTTGAATTCTGCTTTGTTCTGGTTGGCCATTCGAACCCCGACTGATGCTGAGTTTCAAAGTACCGATAAAACTCATAGCTTCGCTTGAGCTCCTCCAAGCAGGCAGCATGTGTATGAGGTAGGCCTTGAGTCACATCAGACAAAATATGATGAGGCAGCCGTTCAGGGGAGACCAAGGGCTTGGGGGATGCGTTGGCTGGGGAGAGGAGCAGCACCAGCCTCCGGAAGAATTCTGAACTCTGCCCTACCCAGAGCTGAAAGAGGACCTGCAAAACAGGGGAGTGTTAGCTCTGTGCACCTGGGAACATAGCCAGCCTCCAAAGTAAATGTACAGATACACATAGGAAAACATTCCTCAGCCAGAAACAAGACCTCTGAAAAACTGTGAAAATCTGCTGAATGTTTCTGAAGGACATCCTAGACCATGTGAGGCTCAGATCTCACGAGCCTTAGATGACTGCTAATTATTCGATGAAGGACATTATATGCAATTATACTCAGAGGCCTAAATCCCCATATTTCTCATCAGGCAGCTTCATTATTTGCTATAATGTCCACATACCCTAAAGCTCATAAAGAACTGCCAAAATTCCAGTGGCGGCTAAGACATTTTATCCTTTATGATGCCAAGCTATCATTTCTACAATCTACTGAGTATTGCACTGGCCCACACCCAACCTTGAAACACAATTCTAATTGCACTGTACTTCATCAAAAAACATTCTACATCTGAAGAAAACTAAGCTGATAATTTTTATTCCACCAAAGTGAAAATTTCACCAATTCCACTAAGGAGGGAAAGGCTTGTAAGAAATGAATTGCTTCACAATGTTATATATGGTACAAAAGAGGTAAGTTCCTCTGGGAGCAAGGAAACCCACTAGTTCAACTTCTTAAGAACTCCCATTTCCAATGCAATGAAAAGGCCTGTTTTCTTAGTTTCAAGGAGACTGTTGGCTCAATACCCCATGACAGAACAGTAGAATCTTTTATCTTCAAAATGAAAAGGAAAGGTTATGACACTTTTCTCTGCAATACAGCCCTTATTAAAAGGCATCTACTGTAGGTGAGTATGAGGTGTAGTCTGAAATCTGTTCTCAAGCATTCCAGACCAAGGAAGACAAAGTAATTATTATTCATGTTTTTTTCCACCCTACCCCCCTCAGCTGCAGAATAGGACTAAGAATTTACTTGTTCTGAGGTTTTGGACCTACAGGATTGGAAATACTGTATTTACAGTTTTGTACTCATACTACTGTGGACAAGTAGCAGTTTCTTCCAGTGTGTAAACAAATCAAGAGCAAACCAGTCAGAACAGTAACATAAAAGATTAAATGCCTTCATATAGATGTGGTTTGATATACCATAAGGGTATATCAAAAATACTTGGATGCAAACTAAAAACAAACCCAGAAATTTCAAAAGAAAAAAGATACTTCTTAATTTACAAAAGGTGGTTATGAGAAGAAAGAACACAGAATGATACAAAATTAACTGGCTGCTAAACTAAAAAGCAAACAAATGGGCAGCAATCATCCACATGTCCCTGAAGATGCAGTGCCCTGGATAGCAAGCCAAGAGCTCATGCTATAGTAAGCACAAAAGATGACCAATCCCCTTCACCAGACACAAGGCAAAAGCAGTGAAAAGTAGCAAAAAAAGGAATGGACTTCAGCAATTTATAATAATCCAAAACCTACCTGAAAAAGGCACAATGATGAGAGAAAAGGGAATTCCAGATGTGTTTTGGGTTGCAAATAGCTAGCTCTGCCAATGACTTCCGATTATTTTTACTGGCTCTTAAACTTCACCCCAAATATCCAACTGGCTCTCCTCAGCCTGAATCGGTATGTTTTCCTTAAACTAAGCATTTGTACTCTTCAAACTAATTTAGTTCAAAGACAGAGTAGGCAAAAGACACAGGCTAAATTTGTCATATGGCCTAGACATGGGCTTGAATGAAAATTAGAACATGAACTAAATATGGATACACATCTGTGTTCTACCAGCATTTTAATATAAATACAGGTTCTCTCAAATGAAAAGAACTTGAAGAGGACTACACATAAATCCAGGGCTCACAACACAAATATGTCCCAACGTTATCAATGTATATCAACTTTATTATCTATGCACGAATCTGCTTAGGACTGATCTATGTTAATTTAGCTTAGTTCAACTACACCACACACAGCCATCACTGTCTGTTATGAGTTAACGTAAACTGAGATTTACTAGCATCCCAACCAGTTTAACTAAAACTGATTACAGTTAAATTACTGCAAACTGCAGGTAAAGACTTAGCTTACAAGGTTGGGCACTTCTGACCACCTTCCTGTCCTTAAAAAGAAGTGGGTAAATAAATGGGCTTTCATGGTTGCAGTAAGAATTTCAGTTAATGAAATGGCAAGAAAAAAAATCTCAAAAGCTTACATCTGATGTAGCTCTTAGCTTCCAACTAATTAGACAAAGCCTCAAAGCTTGGCAATTGCTATTACTGGTAACATTTACTGTCACAGCAAAATAAGTCAAGGTCTAGGAATTAAGTGAATAAAACAAAACAAAAGCCAAACCCACAAAATCACAGAAGTCACATAATAATGGAATTTTCCGTTTAAAAAAATAACGTTAAAAGGGGACTGCCTCAGCAGAGAATCACTGGAGTGTCAAAGGCTTGCATTCAAATTAGATCCTCTTTCCAGTTGCAAACATTGACTCATGCAAATTAAAACCACCTAACATCTCAAACCAAAACAGATTAAAAGGCCAGGATATGGTTGTTGTTCTGTTCAGCTAAATGTTTTTCGAAGATCAAAGAACCATAATGGCTCATGGCAGCAGGGGTTGAAACTCGTGATTTCTACTCCTTGGTGTAACTAAATGCAGCTATTCCCTGTGGCAGTTACAATTAATTTGTATTTTCTGATGTATCTCTTTACAGAAGTCAGGAGATTAGCTAAAAAAGATGTAAGTACAAACTTGGAAATCATTTTACTCAGCTGGGATCAAGTGCAATCACAGAGCAAAAAAAATACGTTTAAGAAGGAGATTGATCAAGCTGACTGTAAAACACTGACTTGAATTTACATGATTTGCAGAAAAAAAAAAAAATCCTAATGTTGTATTTGGGTTGTTCAGCCTGAAGGCGAAAAGGCGCTGGGGAGACCTTTGAGCAGCCTTATAGTACTTGAGGGGGACCTACAAGAAATCTGGAGAGGGACTTTTTACAAGGGCATGTAGGGACTGGACAAGGGGGAATGATTTTAAACTGAAGGAGGGTAGATTTAGATTAGGTATTAGTAAGTTCTTCACTATGAGGGTGGTGAGACACTGGAACAGGTTGCTCAGAGAAGCTGTGGCTTCCCCATCTCTGGCAGTGTTCAAGGCCAGGTTGGATGGGGCTTTGAGCAACCTGGTCTACTGGAAGGAGTCCCTCCCCATAGCAGTGGGGTTGGAACTATATGAGCTTTAAGGTCCCTTCCAACCCAAACCATTCTATGATTATGCAACTTCTCTTCAACCACATGCAAAAAGAAATAGCCTATATGCCAATAAATTTAGAAATACATGAGACTGATTACATCTCCTCCTCAGTGGACCTTGTTACTACAGGCTAGTACACACAAGCCATAGAGCTTTATGACTACTGAAAGAGATTTTCACCAGAAGCCTGTGTGGATGTGCGTGTCCTTCTCAGAGAGTTTACCTTGAGTGCAGGCAAGCTGAAGCCATCAGTTAGATTGTGTGCCTCCTCTTCAGAGACCTGCTCTTCGCTCAGCCCAAGACCCAGCTCCTTAAAGGGGACTACACAGATGTAGCTGGTCACGTTGTCACTCTCCGAGTTCAGAGGGTAGGTTTAGCTGGAGTTAAGGTGGTTAACAGAGCAACTTCACCATTAAACACACAGAAAAGGAAAAAACACCTAATGAGGTTTCTTATTTCTGGAAATTTGTGTGAAAGCACCTACATTCCACCCAAATCCACCTAAATCATGTTTAATTGAACATTTTGCAATCCTTATTCAAAGCACAGGTTTTAAAGGCTCTTAGGAGGATGAGAGACAAGACATTGATAAAATAGCTACGTGTAAATACAAACACATAAAAAGAAACAAAACAGACTGATGAAAGACCCCTGCATCCCTTTCAAGTAAGGAAAATATCATGAAATATTAAGTTTTCAAGAAGCAGCTCAAGTCCACCTTAAACCAGAAATCATACATGTAACATAGGAAACAGAAAAACACTTGCGTAATTTTAAGTCTAAAAGGTAGCCTATGCTATAGGTCAAACTCAGGATGATGGGAATTCCCTGCGAGTTCTGTCTGTGGAGGGAATGCTCACAATAACTGCTCTTGGACATGCCACATAGTACTGTGAAGAACAGGAGCTCCCGATTGTCATACCATTAATTTACTGATTATATTGCTGTAAAACCACCATGATCTTGTCAGGAACAGCAGCAAGCTGTTATCAACGCAATTCAGCACATTTAAATTCTAAGTGAGAATATGTACATTTCCAGTCCCCAGAACTGCTTAATAAGCAGGAAGCAAACACTGTATCACTGAGACCAGAAGACAGATAAAAATAATTCATTGACTAGGCAGCATTTATTTTAAAACAGCTCTTATTTTAGGCTAACCTTGTGCTGGGGAAGGAGGAGGAGGAACAGTTCAAGATTTCTGTGCATTTTGGATAGTTACCCAGCCTCAAAACAGTAAAATTTGCTTTAAAATAGGAACTTACAACTTATGGTCATAAGCACATTTGCTCCACAGAAATATATATATATATTAAAAAAGCAATATATATATATAATTTTATACATATTTTATACATTATATAAAAATATTTTTAAAGCAATATATATATATAATTGTAAAGCATGCATGAAAATAAGGCTTTAATTTAAAATATTTGTTTCATTTATATTTCAATTTGAAAACTGAATGCTTTCATCTCTTGGTACACATAAAGCCGATAAGAAGCGCTTGTCTCTTGTCTAACTAATGTTTTCTGGGGAAGCTACAAGTCCCACCCACTTTTACTCCCAAAATTTTGACGTGCTAAATTCTCATAAGATTGAATCTGTAAAAGTGATTTGCTCAAGAAATTTTTTATCATTTGAGTAAGAACGCATTGCATTAAAAAAATCATATTCTGTGTCCCAGAAAAGAACAATGCCAAGTGTCCAGGTTCTAACCAAACACACTTCTCCCTAATTTATCCCCAAAAGAAATCCAGGAAGAAAGAAGCCTATTAGAGTGTTCAGACAAAAACCAGCAAGGCAAATTAATTAGGAGCTAATATTGTTGCCACTAGCAGCTGCCTCACATGAATGCTGTCCATTGTCAATTAACCTGACAGCAATGCCCAGCAGATGGAGCACATGGGATGAGGATGTTAACTGTCAGAGACTGAAAAATCTGGTCAAAACCCTTCAGGACCAGTTATCTCAGAGACTAATTACATGCCTTGTTACTCTTTTCCTGCAAGAAGACATTTCCAACAACATGAACACCATTAAAGTTTGGACACGTGAATTTCTAAGTCATGCTAAGAAAAGAATTCCAGGCAACATTTCAAATGAGTGGTTTGACCAAAGCAGTCCCTCATCAATACTATGTCCCAACTAGGGATTCCCAGCATATTCCAGCGCCTGCCTGCCTTGCCTTCCACTATCGCAGACCTCCCACCCCCATTACTATGGGATAGATGAAAGCAGAGAACTGATCCCCTGCCACCATTACCTTCCTAAGGAGTAAACCTCTAGAAAGTTTAAGCACATACACACAAACATATACACAAACACGCTTCCTTCACGCACTTTGCTCTAAAACACAAGTATTTTAACTGCTAATGTTTTGTATTAAAGCCAAATACAGTAACTAACCTTAGGTTAGTGAAATTTTTTTTATGTCTTTGTGAAAATATTTCATTCATCTGTTTAACTTACATCTCTTATTAGCTTGGGAGAAGAAAAGGCAAAACTACTTAATAATAAACTGTCAAATCCAGAATAAAATATCTGTACAGTGACTGTCTAACCTCTGCCAGGAAGCCACTCTTATTTGCCTACAGAAAAGCAAGAACAATAATGTACCCCTGTATGTAGCAATTTAATATTCAGACTTTGCTCTTCAAAAGCCCATTCCCGTCTAAAGATCGAACAGGAGGGCCCCACAATATCCTTGAGAAATCCAAACTGCCTTCTTATGAAATTCTCACCAGGCAAGAATGGATGCATTGACTGGTCAAGGAAGAAACACTGCACTGCAAATTGCCCAGTCTCTTTACTCAGGCTTTCCAGCATCAGATTTCTGATTTAGGCTTTCATGACCCAAAGAGGGTCCTGCTTTTTATTTAGCTTCCTGTTTTCTTATGTGAGCTTTCTCTTTCCCAAGTTAAAAAGTATGTGTTTTTCTAACATTTCATGATGCAATAACTAATTTTTTTACAGAGGAGAAGGAAAAATGTTTCACTAGATTTACTAGAGGAAATTTGCAATCTTCCCCATGCTCAGTGCACCCCAAAGACATAAAATATAAATATATATGTATGTTCTACCTTAACCCATTAAGACATAAATGGGTTAAGGTGGAACATATATATATATATATATATATATACTCATTTTAAACTCATTTTAAAATACTGGTATCCAATGTCTGGTTTTGCAACGCTATTCTTCGCATTCAGAGAATGACACCTTACACTTATAACAAAATTAAAGCTTTTTTAGTTTATACAGTCCAATGCCCAGGTACTACCTATCAATATAATTCAATGGAAATGCACTGTCACACTATCTTGCATAAGATGAAGATGAGACTATTAACATAACCCAGCAAAATAAGCTATAAAATTTCCTCCATCCAGTTTGCATATAATTAAACCAGTGACTAAAGCATAGATTCCTATGACACAGAACTCACAAGGCTCTTAAGTATAAAAACATTAAGCAATTAGCATGCCAACTGAAGTACTGCCTGAGTTATTACACAATTCAATGGAGAGTGCAGACATTTGTTGAAATGGTAGTGACCAGTCTGCACAACATCCTGTAAATACTTAATCCAAAACACCTAATTTGAGTTTAAGCCTGCTATATCCTTGTCTTCCAGATTAAAAGAGAAATACTCTTCTCTTTCCTTCCTTCTGTTCATTCTATGATTTTGAGCAATGTACTCTTTCCAATATGAACAGCTTTAGAAAACGAATTGTTTCTGCACGCACCCAACCGTCCCTTCACATAAAATGTAAGGAATATGTCTTTCCATCTCATTAGATTACTGGTCCACCAAGGTTTGATACAAATGCCTGGTATAAAGCTAAATTATAATTGCATCTTTTTTTTTTACATAGGAACAAATTTTAATTATGACAACAGTAGTTTATTCTACTCCCTGAAGGCAGCTGTCTAGCTAAAAAGGCGCACACTAGCCACAAACAAATACTGCTAAACTCCTAGTTTTATTGAAGCAAGTAAAGATATCAAGTTGATGCAACTTTGCATAGATGTTGTTTATGCAAAGTTGAGAATATCTTCTGATTTTGTGCAAAGCAGAACTTACTAAAAAGAACTGTAAAAGTCAGAATTGGCATCTCATTTCCAGATTTTGGATGGAAGATCCTTTCTGTTAATTTATCAACATTCCTTCCCTTCAATTTATCACCTCGCTCCTTTATTTAATCTCTCCAGTTCCTTTTTCTCCTTGCTCTAGGCCAGATTTCTGCTAACAATCTAATGACAGACAAGGGCATTAAAGTTGCCACAAGCAGCAGCTGTGAATGCTTTTGACATGAAGGAACCTTTGGCCCCTCCAGCGTAAAAGTTCTATTCAATTTCATGAGGCACTAGAATCTATTTGAAAGATGCCCCTTGCCGTATATACCCATGCAAAACACATAACATTTACAGGCATTCATGATACACAGGGAAATATTCAAACTAAGGCAACTTGGAACTACCTTAAAGCTTCTTTTAATTATCCTGGTGGGGAGGAGGAATCCTTTACTCACATTCCTTACACTTAAGGTCTTTCCTTTTCAGTTTTCATGCACTGCAGAATTGGGCCAGCCTGCATCTCAGCTCACATGCTACCACTAGTTGTGCCACGATGTTCTTGACAAATACAAATTCTCTTTCCATTTGTCAAGAACCTATATACATGCAACGTCCATAAATTTTTCAGCCATTTATTTCTGCTGGCCCTTACTACTGTGATATCTGTGTGATAATGTGGCATAATGGTACTTTCATCTTAAAATTTTCTCAAAGACAGATCTAAAAGTCAAATTATCCAAAGTAAACAAAATTTTCTTCTCTCCCATTCCTTAATTTAAAAGCCATTCCTTAAGTTTAGTAGTTACAAAACGAGTGGACAGTCTAATACACACCAATATTCCTTGACTTGTAACTTTCCCAGCCACAGCAACAACCTACAAACCTGTCCTAACCATTGCTACCCTTCATGCTGGAGGACACTTAAGAAGGCCATGTTAACTGACCCTGTTTTCAGATCTCTTGTCCCATGTTCTTAGAAGGGATTCTTGATTATTTCCAAGGTAGGTATCAGTTGCTCTTATAACCTGTCTGAACCAGTCAGAGTAATTTTTCTTTCTTAAGACATAACAAATACACCTTATTCCTGAGAGCTAAGAGTGAAGTCTTGAGCCCAGAAGGAGGATGCCTATCCCTACACAAGTTACTGTTTTATGAAGAAATACTCATTTCCTTCAAAGTGACTGCGCATACCAGTAGCTTTGTGCGTTCCCCTACGTGTTTACCCGTCATCACTCAGTACATCCATCCATTTGCTAGGCAAGATATACTAGTCTAGTATTATGTTCCAGGAAGACAAAAGAAGTGATTTGTCATGTCAGACTTTCAACAGTCGCACTACCACCAGCTTTTGTTTCCCTGCATGTGTTCTTCCAGATCAGTAACGTATCTGTTTTACTTTTGTGCTATAATTTAAGGTGAAGACATTGTTATTTCCTATATAGTACTGCAAGTACAATAAACACAAAATAACCTTGACGTGCTAACATTAGAAAGCATGTATACAATTCACTAAAGAAATACAGATGATACTCACAAAATGGAATCTGAACCAAGTGTTCTTCTCTGATTCAGAGTTGAAATTCCTCGCTCTTAAATGAATGTCACTCAGCTTGTCTGAAACAGGAAATCAACTTACCTTTGAACACAGGGGTGTCGAGTGAAAGGCCATATTATTCAGAGAAGAGGCTATTTTGGTGCAAGGGGAAAAGATGGCTAAGATGCATTACAAAACAAAATCCTGAAGGACTCTGAAAAACATTAACAGTGCTTACACCAAGGGCACGGGTGTGAATAACTGGGTCTACATTTTCAGTGCACAGAATCTTCTCTCACACTGCACAGCACAAGCGTAAATCCCAATTTACTATGCTACCTTTTCTTTGTCTTGTTTAGGTATGTAATTAAGTACTGTCAGTTTCTAGATATACTAACTCTAAAGACTGGCCCAATTACAGGTAGGTAACTTGGAATATCTGAACTGCTCAGGTTTTGCAAAAAGGATATTTTTTCAGCATGTACAGAGTAGCCAGTCTTGAAGCTCGGAAGTTGGCTCTGACAGAGCGATAAACGGCTTTCCGGAGACCAATAAGATGCTGACTAGGATGCTGTCCAGCTTTATTAAATGGGCAAGCGGCACTGACCCTGTCAAGCAAACTTGAAAAGTAAAATGTGATACAACTGTACAGATGTCCTAAAGTATTTTTAAAAGACAGTACATCAGCTTTCTTATTCCATTACTTAGAAAACTTTTTCAAACCACTCAGTAACTATGAGAGAAAAAAAAAACCCTAATCATATCAATGATATATATAATAATATATATATTGTTGTCCAGCATATCAATGATACATTTAATCAGAATTTCAGATAAGCAGCCAGGATTCATTTGTAAACATGACCAGAACACAGGAAGCATTTGTTTTCTCCAAAGATTTCCTAAATTATACGCTAAAGGTTGACAGACCATAACATTACCTTTAGTAAAAAACTACCACAAGCCCACTGTAAACTTTGGAAATTTTAACAAATGCTTAACATATACCTCTTTATAGCCAAATTTGTTCAATATTCTTTTGCAGAAAAAATGTGCTACTACATATTGTTTTTCATACAATCCACTGTATTCTTTCAACTTTTTCCATGCTCCCTTTTCCAGGTCAACAGAGATATTATTTGAGTGGTGACACAGATTTTATCATCATGCAATGAATGGCAGCTGTGTCTGTGGGAGTCTGACAGGTAAACACATGAAATATATGCAACTATACAAGCATATTTGAAAATATACTTTGGTGTCCACATATTCAGGTGAATATACCATATAAAAGAAACTGTGCCATTTGCCTGTTAGAATATACTTCAGAATGGCTTTAGAACTGTAAGAAATTGCCTCATCTGGAAATAAACTGACTCATGAACTGGGTGAATGTTAAATATGTCTGTGTAACAATAAGCTGTAGAAAAGGGAAAATAAAAAAGATTCATATCCAGTTATATCTATTCATATACAGTCTGATGCCAAACTTATGACTGAGATACTGAAAATAGCCTTTACTTGCTGGGACTCTTTTTACTAGAGTCAGCTCAGGAACGGACACAGAGTGGACAACATGACAATGAATTGTGATTAATTTTTGGAGACTGGGAGCCTGCTTCTGCCATCACCTTTCCCAGGGCATGGTAAGGAGGTGATTTCATGTCTTTGGCCACTTAAAAGGGAAAAGCATATAGGATACCTGGTAAAACTGAGGGGGGCTGCTTCACTGGGAACTATTTCTGTAACCTATCTGACTGAAGAGCTGAGTAAGCCAGCAAACCTGACCCTGCTGGAAAAATGTCAGTCCTACTGCATGTGCTTAGCTGGACCACGCTGCACATTGACTGGGAGGGGAAAGAGCTTATCGCCTCACTGTCAAATATGAAAAGCAATGCAGCCCACCCAGTGAGCAAGGCTGGACCCATACGATTAACACAAGGAGATTCATGCCAAAAACTGCAGTATATTGAATATGCTAGCCAAAATACCACATTAAAATGTCTGTGTACCATATTAAATGATGTGAGTGATATTAAAATGGTTTATGTAACATCTCATAAAGTACTTTAAAACCTGAATAAAATAAACCCAAACTGTGTTAATTTCAATTTCTAAATGTAAATCTAAAATGCTAGTCTTGCCATACATTTCACTAGGGAACACAGCATGTAAAATACATGCCAATTTTTAACATTTCCCTAGGTTTTGAAGGTAACAGCTGGAAGTGTTTATGAATAAACTCTCCCATCAGTTTGTAGACTCAAGCCCTGGGTGAACTGTCAGAAGCAGGTTCAAAGAGCAAAATTCTTCTACTGTAAAAGAGAGAAAGAAATCTACGTTCTGCTACAATGATATAAGCATTTCCAGCTCCTATACAGGACAAATATAGCACAACTCATGCATAGCATGTTCTGCCAGTATTAAGCAAAACAACTTGCTTTCCTTCTGGGAGGCCCTGTTTCAGTGTTTTTTATAAAATAATTCTTTTTTATTCAAGTAATCTTAAATTAGTATAACTTGCTATTAATGTCTACGCCAGATATGCCATATCATTAAGTTCCTAATGTTTCATTTATCTTCTATATATTTTAATTGGACTTAAAAAACGTTATCAACTTTGCATACCAGCCATGAATAGCAAGAAGAAAAAAGGTTAAGGGCGAATTTCCTCTTTCCTACTGCCCCAAGCCATTCTACAAGTAAAGAACAGTGACTTATTTCTCCATTGATCTCACAAGCCAAATTTTAAATAGACTCAACTTATAACAAACTTGTATAGACACATTAATAAAAACCTATTACTGTACTCCACCATGAAAGCAGTTCAATAAAGATGCTATATACACCAATATGTGTTCATAGAGCTTGATTCTAGTTTAAAATACAGTAGAAAGGGAGCATTTTGGAGAAAAGCTAATTATTTCAGTGACAAACAGGGAAATAACTACTTAATGCTTACTGCTGCAGCCTTTCATTATGTATTCCTACAGCTTCCATTTCATGATGTGTGAGACAATGGACATACTTTCATTACCCAGTGGAAATTCCAGGCTGCAACCCATGATCATTTGCAATGCGACAAATGAAGCCATTAGATAGGAATAGTGCCATTCTGCCTGAGTATAGCACTACCCTACATTGGCTACCCAATTTCTGTAATCCAAACTACTCTGGTGAGGTCTCAGCCATCTCTGCAATGCACAGCTTGTACCATGCAGACATCCCTGAAATGCCAACAATAGCGTTAAACACTTCTGAAGGCCATTCTGAAATCGGAATATACAGTTGCCTTTGAGAGCAGCTAATATAAGACGCCTGATAGTTCCCTTTCTAAGTGGCTGCTGTGGGGTTTTGGGAATGAAGGCAAAATGACTCCTGAATTGGTTAATCATATAGCAGTCACTATCACAGCAGTAAACCAGGGAACCAGTGGACAACTGACTAAAACCTCATGAAGAAAAATTTAACATTTACAGAGACAGTCAAATATCAATTAACAAGGGGCAACAGGGTAGAATAAAGCAAAGCCACAGAGATTTCAAAGCATATGTGAATTAGCTTACAAGAACATTACAATGTACAGTGCAATAACGAGAAGAAACAGTAGTGGAATACAATGAGATTCAGGCCAAAGCTGCAGACCTGGGTTTGCTATATCAGTATTTAGCTAAGTACACCTAGCCAAAATCTGAACTCAGTACTGTTTAAATGTCAGCTTCAGTATTTTTCCACTGACAACACAGTTAATGCACATTCCAAACAATGCTGAGCTAGAAGTATGCTAGAACAGCAACACACGTATCATTGAACAGAACGCTGCGCTACCTGGTTGAAATCCCATTCCTTCAAGGATGTAAAATGACACAAGAAGATACTCATTAACTTTTACATGCAACCATTTCTATTGCCATGTGACTCTCAACTAGCATTAAGACTTCGACAAATTTACTACAGGAGAACATACAAAACTTTGTTCTGCTATGGTTTATTGTAACAAAATTCTGGAAGAAAAAAGGTAACTAGTTTTTCAACCTCATACATGAAGTGCTATCTCAAGTAAGAATTTCAGGTGCCCTGTGCAGCAGCCATCTTTTGCTTATATGGCTGCAGAAAAGAACACTCTGGAATTAGACTTTCCTCCAGGCTAAACCAAATAAAAATCTGTACAGCACTGACTTCTTCATACTGGACAACTGCTCCAATGAGGATACTGGCACAGTCAGACTTCTCCCACTCCATCCATACTTCAAAGTCTTTGGAAAAGCTTGCCAAAGTTTTAAGTAAAGAGGCTATTAGATCAAGCATCAGCTTAAAGACCAGTATGTTTTCTGTTAATCTAAGATACGTAGCAAAAGAACAAGACACCAGCAATACAGACATTGACCACAAGTTCGTTTGCTTTAACTCAGGAAAAAATCCAAATGTTTTTCTCATCTGTAACTTGGACAAGCCCTAACAATAACTTCTTTTAAGAACCCATTTGCAAAGATAAGACTGCCTATTGCTTAACTATATGATCCTTCAGCAAAAAACCAAAACAAACCAAAACACATATCTAGGCAGACTGAAGACGTGCTTTTTCATCCCAAAGGGAGAATGAAACATTTTTTCAATGAAGCATACTGAAGGTATCTCAAGCTAGAAAATTTATTCAAAATGTTAAGTCTACAGTTTCAAACCTGCATGTAAAAACATGTGCTTGAGCACAGAATAGTTGGTCTGGCATGAACAAACAATTCCTTTGTGCACACAAGGGAATTTTTTTACTGGTTTTAGAAATCAGTTGTCTGAATTTTAGTTGTTGGCACTTCCACCCTCCTTAACTGTAAGGCTAGCTGGCACAGGTACGTATCTAACCATAGGCTGCTATAAGTGAAAAGCGTACATGGCAATGAGAGTGTGTAGAAGCAGGACTGTTGGCTTTGGGATCATCGCATACACTAAACCTGTTCTCATGTCCTTTCACACAGCAAATAGGTGAAAATTGCCCAATAGCTACAAGAGCTAAATAACCAGGAATGTTTTCATATCCCTCAAGCGCGATGCAAATTCAGCAGTAAAGAATTTAAGAATTTAAACACCTCATCTCTCAATGAGTAAAGTAACCTTTAGTTGAGGTGGGAAATGAGCTTTAATGGTCTTCACTGATTGCTGTGTTCTCATTACTTCAGACTGTTGTTTGTTAAATAAAAATAGAATTATGATGTCATCTTGTTTCCTAAAATATGAATGATTACTTGCAGTCAGTTTATTTACATAGATTTGGTAATAAAAGATATACACCCCCCCCCACAAACCGCCCTCTAAATGACTCCACAAAATACCTAACTAAATTGATTCAAAATCCATTTCTTCATGTGTTTAATTGATAGCAGAGTAGCAGATTTCAGTGACATAAAAGTTTGGTGAGACTTAATTCTCCTTCAGGATGCCAGGTTTTAACAGTGAATTGTTAGAATTCATACATTTAGTATGAATGGAAATGATACTATTTTATGTGAACAAAAAGCTTTAAGTATCACGTTTTTCAGAAATTCCACTTGTTATGTGAGATGGTGCAACCAGACAATTTTAGAAGGCATCTGGCTTGAATGGATCTGTGTATTAAATAAAAGGAAATATAGACTCACAGGGTAAATCCTCTGGAAATTACTTCAGTCTCTTGAATAAGTCGTAGAGATTTCCTCACAAGATTAGTAAAAGCTCTGCTATTTGCCACTGTTTCTTCCAGCTGGATACAGTATTTTCGCAGGGACATTTGCAGCTTGGCTGTCCTCCATGTGCCCCACACTCGAAAGACTGCATAGACAAGCAGAACTAGTCCCCATAGCAGCCATGATGATTCCTTCCACCATGAGGGAAGCATAAACAGTGCACTTACAAAGGCAAGAAGCAGCGAGACATCCCTGTAAACAGAAAAAATATCATCAACCACAGATTCCTGAGGTCAAATGAGTGGCAAAATCATGAAGATTCTGGTTGCATCTGCCATTATGACATCTTATAATGGGTTTTTTATACAGGTTCTGATGGGAGCTATAAACACTGAAAAATATTCCTAGTGGCAGATTTACATGTATATGTACATGATACTACTTGGTCAGTGTACTCTAAGGAAACATTTCTCTGGCTTTTTTTATGTCACAAGGAGAAGAATAATGTACCACTTTGAAAGGTCAGTTTCTCTTACACATATGACTTAAAAAAAAAAAAAGAAAAGAAAATAGAATAAGAAAAAAACTGACTACTCAGCATTATAATCCAGGGTGGGTAGGAATTGGAATATCTGTACTTCCAGGTTCAAGAGTACAGTAGGGAAGGGCATGTTTCTTTTGGTAACAAAATCCTCAAGTAATGCCAGCTTTATTTTTTCTAGAGTCTGACTCATTTAACTTGGACACCAACACAGCAGTAGTTTTTAACATGTTTTTATAAAGATGGCTTGTATAATCATTTTAAATAATTTAGAAGCTCTTGCAAATCCTTAGAGAACAGTCACTGTATCTCAGTAATCAGTTATTTCTCAAGGACATTAAAAAAACTTCATAAAGCTGTTATTTTCACCTAGAAAAATTACACAAAAAGAAGTAACTGCTTGAAAATACACTGTGTTTCATATACAGTATTATAGTTGCATTTTTTTAAATGACAGTCCAGAGATGGATGGGATATGGGCTTCAAGATGCATAACAACTTTATTTTTGCATATTTTTTTGAAAGAAAAACATTCACTTTCTTTACCTGCATATCCTGTATTTAGTTTTGGAAGTATTTAAAAGGACTATTTTCCCATTTCTAAAATAAGGCATGATCTCTGGATTTCTATTTTCTGGACAGTTTTGTAGTCATATTTCAACACAGTTTACAAGCGTTAATTCTTCAGGGCTACTGACAGCTTTCATTAAAGGTCCAGGGTTAAAATATTCCAGATATGTAATTAACTTTAAAAAGGAGAGACATGTAGTCTACAACTTGCTTGGTACATTGAAAATAAAATCACACACATAGAAAATGAAACACACCAATGAAAGACTCAAAGAGATTTAAAAGCTCATTTTGTCCATTTTCGGTTTCTGGTTAATCCAGATCATCACAGACAGACTGAAGAAGAAACTTCAGACTCCACAACCCACCCAGGAAGCTACTGCAACTCATACATATCCTTAGAGTTCAAAAGATTTCCCCCAAGTAAAGTCGGAATCACTGGCAAATTAATTGCATGATTTTTCCTCACATCGTTCCCTTTTCTGAACAGGATAAATGACGACTGATCACCACTTCCTATTAGCTACCTTCTACGCATTGTAACACTGCTTTACCCACTTCAATTTTGTCCATTTTGGCCAAACAATCCTAGCATACTTTAACGTTTCCAAAAGACTCTATTTTTTAAACTCGTTATTCTTCTTGTTCTGCTCTGGCCTGTCTCTAAATTGCCTATGCCTCTCCGAGCGCGGCATCTAAAACCAAATGCTGTAGTCTAACACAAGGCTTAGGGAAACAGACAGAAAAGTAACCCCCTGCATGCTGCATTTAATAAGGACACCAGGATGAGATTTGCCATTTTTTCAATAATTTGCTGAAGCATTGAATTTATACTCTGCAACCATGTGCAGATCCTTTTCTGAAGTAGTACTGCCTACCCAATTATTAACCACCTGTTTGTTCATTTGATTTTTCCTTCCCAAAAGCATTAGACTTTTGTCTATTGACTTTTCTACTGATTTCAAGATATTTCTCAAAGCTACTTTTGAATTCCATTCTGCCAAAACATTTACAAACTTGGTGTTGTCTGGAAGCTGAGCAATAGTCACAAATTCTGTAAGTGTACTTTATCATCCGAACGGTTAAAGAAACTATAATAAATAGTGCTAGGACCAAGACAAAGCACTGGAAAAATCTGTTTCAGAAGTTCTCTTGTTTGACAGACAGAATCAATAATGACATATTACAACTTAAACAGTTGGGGTTTTAACATGCTGTGGCTTTATAATAATTTTATCCATTTTCCTAACATAGCATAAAAACATAACACTGGGCTGTGTTATGAGGTATTTTTATTTACTGATTCCTGTCCATTTCTGAGCAAGACCCCCTGTCAGAACACCCACTGTCCTTGCTGGTTTTCAAATACAGGTGGTAGCTGTTCTGATGCTGCTGCAGCAGCTAGCTCCTTCAGTTTTCCAGGGTGAATTTCACCAGCCTCTGCTGGCTTGAATGCATCTTTAAAAATGCTTTAAGTCTGTTCTTCTGGTATTCTACATCTGAAAATTAACTGCACACACCTCCCCGACATAATTATGAAGACCACAGCAAAGTAGACACTTTTCAATTCAGTCTTCACAATCATGTCTCATTTATCAAAATCACCATTGTATAGCTTTAGAAACTCAAGAATTAATCAACCATGTTAGTTCTTCCCCAGAGCACATATTAGGGTTCATGTAGCTATCTCAGATTAAAACTGACTCTTTCAACAAAACACTTTAGGAAAAAAAACATGCGTATACAAAAATCTGGGGAGTAGTGTACCAAAGACTCAACGACCTGAGAAAAAAGAAAAGTAGTTACTTTGTTGCTGCATTTTATATAAAAAACACACAATATATTTATTGCTTGTTTCTCAGTGAATATGGTGGTACATATTCTCTGTACAATACCAAATATTAGGAGTTGCTAGGGAGCGTAGCGTTGGAAGCTGTCTGTTTTCCTGTTGCTTACACTGCCCTGCAGACAGGATACTGGGGTCAAGGAACTCAATCAGTTCCACATCCTCCTGCAGCAGAACTTCCTGTTGCAGGATGGTACGGAGCGTGTCAAATCGAAATCCAACATCCTAGCCACGAATGGGCAGGAGAAAAAAACAGGCATTAGTAGAGAATATGCAAATTCTTAAAATTAAGTTAGTAGAACAAGGAAAACACCCAGACACTCTATACTTTGATGACAACAATCTGTTCCCAAAGACTACAGGAATGTTTTAGCTATATCACAAGTAGCTACTTCATTTTTATTAAAGCTGTCTAACTTTAAAAACTCACATAGTCCCTACAGTTCAGACTTGCAGGATGCATTGCACTGACTTTGTGATCTGACCTAGATAGTAACAATACCTGGAAAAGTGCCACAGATTATGCCAATATATTTGCGTAAGAATCAGAGAGGTACTGTATCTATCAGAAGGTCATTAATAAAACAGCAAACACTTTCTTTTTGATGTCATGACATAATTTACATCATTAAAAATAAAAATTAGAAAGAAGAAGAGGGATATTACAGATTAGTCAACAAAAAATCACCTGTGGATACTTAAAAACATTAGGGTAAATGCACTAGACTCAAGCCCTGAGCCAAGACAGTGATGCCCTCTCCTGCAGGATTCTGTGCCTTTCCAAAGGAACTCAATCCAAACATGAAACAGCATGGGACTCTGAAGACCACATACTTGCTGAACTCCAGGCAAACTTCAGGGAATTACTTATGGATTTGATGACATGATAAGCATTTGCTATTTTTTTTTCCTTACAAGTACAGCTCTTCAAGACTGATACAATGCTCTTGAAGACAAGTCTATCCATTAGAGAACCCCCTGAAATTTTAATTTGCATCCAGCACCAACTATAATTACAAAACAAGTTAAGAACGTCATAACAAAACCCAACAAACACTGAACACGTGCATCTTTACATCGAACTAGATTACAGGAGGGAAAGGAGAGTATGTCTGAAAACCCTCTATTAGAAGCTTTTAACAGAAGTATGACATTTCACAGTACAAAATCTGTTTAGCTCTGTCACTGACAGACCAAGATTCTTCATGAAACTAGAAGATAGCTAGTTGAAAGTTTATTTCCATACATTGATGTCACTTGAGATATTTTGCATTCCACTTTTAATAGCAAACATTCGTTTGAGGATGGTGTAAGAGGAAACTCTGCCTCCTCCGACGCATCCTGTGTCACTTCAGTACCCTACTGTAGCAAGCAGCAGAAGAAACATGTTTTCCGTACTCTTTGGTTGTGTCTCCATCTCAAGAAAGTAAGGCTAAAAAAAGCTGCTAAGATAATACCTTTGATTCATAGGGGAAGAGGGAGGAATTAAAAAGGACAATCCATGATCACTAATAGGAGGAAATTTTGTTATCTTGAGATAAGGGAGAAGAGATAGCAATTGGACTTAGCAGAACGCAACTGTTTTCTTTTTTTTGAAGCTACATCTGAAGACACCATCCCTACATCATAGCAATAAAAAATAAATCAAAATGCTAACTTTTAGATTCTGGGACAGTCTGACTAATGTGACACTGGCAAGCCAGATCAGGAAACTGGAGCAGCTGGGTGCAAGTTAAAGCAGATCTCCGTTAAGCCCAGGCTAGAGACTGACCTGGCTGGAAAGTGGCACTGCAGAGAACAGGTGTAATGGCACCATAAAACTATTTTTAAATATGTGGGGTAGAACTATAACTTAAGTCTAGCTCACGCAGGCTGACTTGGGCCCTAAAAGTTTCTGCAGGCTCCAGGAGGAGAATACAACTTCTGGTGGGCAGACGGACTCCCAACAGCATCTGAACTGCTGAGATGAGAGCACACAGGTACTACAGAGGACTGCTCTTGCCTCTCCCTGCAGACAGACCGCTACACAGATGTCATCCACTCTTAATGCGTAACGCTGTTTGGAAGCATTACAACTGAGATGACTTAGTTTGTTTAGATTTTCCCAAATGCAGAAGCACTCTGGACAGCAGTGCAGGAACAAATGGGCCAGGATGGGTTCAGGGGTAGTAGATCTGCACTGTGGTGGTGCTATGCCTGAGCTAATGCACTGAAACAGAGGGTGAAGCAATACTCAGGTGAAGCTCTACAGCCTTCTGTTTTGAGCTGTGTCTTCAAAGCACTAGGCTGCAATATTTGAACTTTCTCAGGAGGGTCTCCATACTGGCTTCCATCAAAGAGAGTAGCTACTCTGTAGGTTAACACCTTTCAGCTTTCAAGAATTTCTTTAATATACGTTTTAATTTCTCTTTCACATTTTGAAAACCTTCAACCTGCCTACTGACACTGTTTCTGTTCTTGTGTGCTCAATTCGCTTGGCACAGTAACTCTGAAAATCAGAATCAATATTATCTGAAGTAAAACTCTTAGAGCCAAAACCAACAACACAGAACAAAGATGGTGGTCAGAGGATGAAGTACAGAGGAGAGGAAGACTTGTGGATTAGGAAAATAAATGGAAAAAAAAAAAAGGGGTCACTTACCAGTCGGTGAAGTATATCATCATTTTTCTTATAATGTGCAAAAGGAAACCAGCTTCTAAAGAACTCAACTAGTTTTGACAGGATGCTTTGCTGAAGGGAATAGAAGTTACTCCAATTAGAAAAAGAACAACAAAACCAAGCCAAAAATAAATAACAACAGGCAATTCCTTTATTTCTGCATTTGCTTTTCTTGTTAATTCAGACCCAAGTACCTGTAAGGAAGTTTCGCTTACTGTGTCTGGCCTAACTTCAGAGTACGCTAAGGAACATCTGCTTCCCGTCAGTTTGCTTGTACACACAAGAGCGTGAAATAAAGCTTTCAGTAACCCCACCTATTTGGAGCATAATGGATTGTTATGTTGCACTGTTAAAAATAACTACAGCTAGAATTAGTTTGATCTTAAGCTGGCAAACACTGCAGCACTATGAAAAATCTTCTCTCTCCTTGAGGATAAAAGGTTAAATATTTAATTGGGAATGAAGAAAAGACAAGGAGAGGAACAACCTCTCTTTGGCAGACCACCACAGACTGAGGGCAAGGCTTTGGAGAAGTTGTGAACAGAGACAGGGAAGAGTGACTGTAAGAAGAGGAACTGTCCCAGAACCTCCCTGTCCCAACCGGTGTGTGGTATCAGGTATTTTGCTCCCATGCTGCTTCCCATGCCTACTAAACCCACACTTTCATCTGAGCTGTAAATGAGACACTAATTAGGGGGACTCCTTCTTGGTCATCACACATTTTACTCATGTATCTTCCTAAAATAGGATGTATGAAAGATTATAGCTAAATAGATGCATATTGCTTCACTTGAATGAAAGAGTTTTTGACACGCATTGTGTATCTACTTCCCTCAGACTGAGCTGACAGGAAGAGTTCTTCAAAATACTTACACATATTTCATGATTTCTGAGGCCCTACCTCTTAATCTTCAGACTGCTGACATGCAATACAATCAAACCAAATGTATGCCCAAAAAATTAACTGTGGAGCACCTACATCTGTACCTCCTCTCCTCATTCTGTTGTTTTGGGGGTTTGTTCCTTTTTTTTTCTCCCCCAACTATAAGGTGAGAAATAGAAGAGTAAAACCAAGCAACAAGAGCTTGGAGCTCTGCGGTTAGTGCTGTGATAAACCTGACAGCCCTTTTCAAGGCAGCATGACACAAGTTTGATGAAGCAAGCCAGGGCAGAACAGCTTTGAATAAACATCAGAAATTGTCACCCTGAGGCCCTTATGCTTCAACAATTTTTGTAATAACTTACTTTGGCATCCATTTATGTACCTAAGTTAAGTTTTTCTTTATGTATGTCTCATCTTTCTGTGTACAGTTGCAATTGCAGACCTATACCAAAAGGAAGTGTTTTTTAGGTCAGTGGAGAGACAAACCAAAAGGGGTTTTGTAATGATAGCTCTTCCCAATACACAGGCATCATTCTGGCTTACTAGGAGGAGCTATCCCAACAATCCACACTTCTTAGACTATGGAATAAATCCAAGGGATTGTATTTTGATGTTGCTCAAGAGCACTGACGTAAATTGGAAGGGGAGAAGAGTGTCACAAACTGCAGCACTGGATTATCCTCCAAGTTTCTTGTGAAGTGGTGAAAAATAAAACAAAATTTTCCAATTACACGTTGTAGAAAATAAAGGTCTTTGTTCTGCATTTGAGCTGCAGATGGGACACTTCATTCAGAAGTACTTTTCCCCATACTTTGAAAGCAGGGTACAGAAAAATTGTCCATTTACTGTTGAAAATGATGCCTCTGGAGCTTCCCATTTTCAACTGTTTAGCTTCCCTAAGTCTTTGGTTTTTTTATCATGAACATGTAAACCTACATCAGGATAATTTTAAACTGCTACCAGCTGATTAAACTAGACTGTGGAATTACTGAAAAAAAAAACCAAAACAACAGGCCAGCAAACCAAAACCGTAGTAGTGTGCTATGTAAATAATCTTTTGGTTTCTTTTCTGTGTTTTAGTTTAAAAATAAAAATCTGAGGTTGCACAAACACTAAACAGGCATGTCAGCGCTTGAAAACACAAAACAAGACAACCCACTGTCTTAGGCTGTGACCCAGTACAGTACAGTAACACATTAAATTATTCAGATCCTTGAACTAGTGTCTCACAGTTTGCATTCCCATTGGGAGTGTTACTGACAAGTAAAGCAACTTTCATCAACACACAAGTCAGGTCATGTTGCCAACGCTTCTGGAGCATTCTTCTCACAGCTTTAAAACACCACTCAGTCAACCCCC